TTTACGCATGCGCGTTTAATGTATAACAGACGGTATAAGCTAAGCTAAAATTATCTATTTCAGTTAATGTTGCATATTGCGTTGTTCCTTAATCTTCTGAATTGGATCCGGCTTATTATTTTTTTGCAGACTGTTAGAGCAATTTTATAAAATTAAGCTTGAACTTTCGATTATGTCAAATAGAATTTCCGTGCTGGAGCTGCCAAAGGATCTACAAAGCGAAAGTATGTTTCGATGTCCATCAAACAAAAAGTGGAATTGCTGCAAAAAATTGATAAAGGCATATCCTTTGTTTCTCTAACCATTCCGAAATCTGTTTAATCTGTTTATCAATTTCACGCTCCTCTGCCGGGGAAAGGGGACGTCGCAGCGCGCAATGAACTGGAAGTTGATCTTTCAGCACTATCCTTATCTTCAAGGCAGATGTTTTTATTTTATTCAGCTTATAATTTCTTACTAAATGTAGTATTTCATCTCGATGTATTCCGTCTTTGATATGATTTGAATCAAATTCCGCGTCATTATAAATATTATGAATACACATCAAATAGTTTTCTGATTGCAATTTTCTAATTTCGACTATGCGTAATGTATGCTTTACGCATGCGCGTGTTGAAAGAAATGTTTAATAAAGTAAACAAACAAATAAATATTAAACTTTTTTTTGTAAATTTTGATACACTTTAGATCATACTTGCTCTTTATTTCATAAATTACGGTTTCATATTTTTAATTTTATAATTTCTGCATGCCATCTTACCAGATTTAAACTGATGATCTATAATGCGGAAAAATAGATAATCCGGAATCGCCGAAGTCCCGACGAGTCCGGATTAAAGACTTTTGACTGTATATGTAAAAAAATGACATATATTTACAAGAAGAAAAGATGTAATTTTAGAAATAATCTCGGAAATTTACATAAAGAAAATGTGAAAAGTTCAGCATTGTTAAGCAAATGTGTTATTTCTGAAATTGTAATAATTAAAAATCTTGTTATATATAACTAGAACTTGATTATAGAAGTATGGCATCGTTTGTAGTATGATGCAAAGTATGTACCATACATGGAAGTAATTCATTAATCTGTGAAATTGATTTTGAAAATTATCAGAGCACTATGCAGAGCACTGCAATAAAATGCATGAAATCAATTCCTTTTTCACAATATCTTTTAATATTAAAAGCAACAAGCATTGAATTGCATCTTATCAAATAAAACTGACTACCTAAATTAAAATTTCGAAGTATTAAAACAAAAATGAGAGTAAACTTTTTCTGATGTCCTTGTTTCCACAGTCTTGGATATACACAAAGAAAAGTGAATAGATTGTCAGTTCATCATTCCTTTTTGTTCATAGTTTTTAAATTATGCTTTTATTATTACAGTCAAAAGTCGTTAATTCGGACACCCATAATTCGGAATGATCTATAATCCGGACATCAAAACTAAAACTTTCTGTGCATGCGCCGCGTTGACACATGCGCAGAGGAGTTCACGCGTGCGCGTAAGACCTTTTACGACTGCGCATATGAGTGTGGGCAAGTGCAGAATATGTTTTCGCGTGCGCATTTTATGTATAATGGACGTATAAGCTAAATAATTATCTATTTCAGTTAATGTTGATGACTGCTTTGTTCCTTAATTTTCGAATTGCATCCGGCTTATTATTTTTTGCAGACTGTAAGAGCAATTTTATAAAAGTAAGCTTAAACTTTCGATTATATCAAATAGAATTTCCGATATATATTTGTTAATATGTAAAAGGATCTAAAGCGAAAGTATGTTTTGAAATCCGAAATCTGTTTATCATTTTCACGCTGCTCGGCGGCGGGCGCGCGTAATGAATGGAAGTTGATTTGTCAGCACTATCCTTATCTTCAGCGCAGATGTTTTATTTTATTTGGCTTATAATTCCTTACCAATGTAGTATTTCATCTCGATATGCTCGTCTTTGATATGATTTTTTAAAACAAGTTCCTCGTCATTATAATTCGCTTCCCGATAGCGAAGAAAAGTGACAGAGGTTATTGAAAACAAAAAAATTTTCGATTGACAAAATTAGTCGGGTTTCTTGACACAGCAATTATAGGACTTGAACGGCGGAACTTTGTAACTGAACAAGAAATTATGTCTGTTTAATAGAATTAAAGAAAAGTATTATCACACGAAACGAAGCAAAACTTAAACAACTTACATTGAAAGAAATGTTTAAAAAGTAAACAAATAAATATTAAGCTTTTTCTTTTTTGCAAATTTTGATACCCTTTAGATCATAATTGTTCTTTATTTCATAAATTACGGTTTCATATTTTTTAATTTTGGAATTTCTGCATGCCATCTTACGAGATTTAAACTGATGATCTATAATCCGGAAAAATCGATAATCCGGAATCGCCGAAGTCCCGACGAGTCCGGATTAACGACTTTTGACTGTATATATTATTTATTACTGATGTCATTCACCTCAATATACTATAAACAGTACGTACTTGAAAATTTAGCAGTGATGAGATATTCAGCTAACATGAGGAAGAGAACTGAAAAAATTGTTGTGAAAATCCTCATGACAAAGAAGCACTATGCTAAACTCTTTGGTCGGTCTGTCTTGATAACATAGGTATGGTAGAATGTGTATGGAACATTCACATCAGAGTGTGACATTGTGTTGTGGTATCGAATGTAAGGACAAAAATGTAGCATTGGGATGTCACAGCAACTAAGTGTGCTGTATGGGTTTGTACAAGTAATTTTCTTTGAGTAAAATCATTGTTTTTCATCACATTCTGATTTTTATCTATAAGAATTCATAAAGAAATTTATCATTTACACATTCAGTATTGTCAAATTATTAATACTTGTACTAAGTGTAGTGATCAAAAAACCTAAAACAGAATTAGGATTTCTAAGTTTAACATTCATTAGTATACTTATTAGATACTTAGTACATTAATATCAATGAAAACTAATCAAAATTCCACTAACAAAGTATCTAAGTCATCTATGTATCTTCACTAACAAAATATCTAAGTCATATAGCAAAATATCTAAATAATCCATCTTATCTGTAAAATAACCTTAGTGTCATCAAAGAAAAAAAAGACTTCATTGAAAAATCTGTGGTGCTCAAAAACCTACACCAGTGTTTCCAGATTGTGTGATTTTTTGCAGATTTGTTACTTTTGACAAACCTGTGTTACTAAAGTTTAGGTCTATGCAGTTTTGTGAATTTCATCATTTCTGTGGGCTAGTTTTAACTACTTTGATTTTTTTTACCATATCATAAAAGTAATCATGTTAAAATAATGTACCATGTATAAAAATTAATTTATAATGGAAAGTAATAATTTATTTAGGCTCAATACAAGTTGGTAACTGGGAATCCTAAGATCGTAGAACCTGAACAACTTGCACTTAGTTTTCAGCATTAGTCATTGGATTTTAACATTTTGATTAATGGCTGCTTTCTTCAATATTTTGGTGATCTGTGAGTAGACTTGCAACGTGTTTAGATCAGTTTGTAGTTGCTGTATTTTCTAAAATATTAATTATGAGTAATGTGAAAAAATCCAAAACTGATTTTCAAAATTTTTGCTCAAAATTCCCATGTTTGAGACCTAGCCAGAAAGAATAAAAAGGGATGAGACAAAATCATATTGCAAGCTGTATAAATATGAATTGAGAGCACATAAAACTAACTTAATGAAACATGATATTTCTTTTCAAGCAAATTTCTCAACAAATCCTGTCTCAGAATAAGCCCAAAACTACATTGAAATCGATTTATATTGAACATACATTACAGCATAAATTGATTTATATTGAAACTTTCTGTATTTGTCGCTTGACCATGCATGCATATGGTCAATTGAAAATGATGTTTCATAAGCAGCTATGGCAATGTGTATGTTACTATAATGAAAAATAAAGTAAAACACATTTCTTAGAATCTGTTTAATATGTAGACTTGAACATTAAAGTTACATCAGATTTATAAATATCAACATAAACAAATTTAATAATGAAAGAATGTTGCTTTTATTAGGAATCAGAATCTGATGAAATAAAATATGTTCAAAAATCAAAATGAACAGTTAACCAAAAAGCGTTAATAATTAAAACAGAGCAAGAAACAATGAATAAGGAAAACAAACAGCCAATTCAAAGGGATTAGTTTAACAGCATTAACAATCCAAGTGTGAGGAGGCACCTGGTAATGGGTATGAACTAATTATCTGAAAATTGACAACCTAAATTAACTGAGAATAAATTAAATAAAGAAATGGAGATTTAAACAATGGAAAAGCACTATGATTTTAAGAATCTCATCAAAATTAGTATAAAGCAAACAAAAAATCAAAGTAGTAGTATTACAGAACCCATTAATACTGAATTTGTGATGACATCATAGGTGATGTGAACTCATGTCACAAAAATCACATGATCTCTGATGTCAAATTCTATTTGTTTAGTTCTTTTTTATTCCTGTCCTGTTATTTTAGGTCAAAAAATTCTGGCAGCACTGGTCTATATATCTATGAAAAATGAATTGAAACATGTAAAATCTAAAATAGAAATCTGAGAATTCAAATAAATAATTACAGCATTTAGATTAACCTTTTGTGCTTGATAATATGAAACTATAAATAATAATGAAAAATAAATGAAATGCACTGTATGCTTAGTTATAACAAGTGATTTTTAAAAAAATATATATGTATTTGAAAGAACCACAATGATATTATTTTAATTCTCTCCACTTGCAAGAAGTTTTTCTATTGCAATACCTCATCTAATTTCTTGTCTTGTAGTTTCTATCTAATACATTTTTAGTTAACTAATTTGCCATTGAAAATGAAGTGTATTCTTTTGACAATAAAACTGTTGAAAGCAATCTAAAGTCACTTACTCGTGAAATATTCCATATTTATTTATTTCATTTATTTATTCTGTGCTTTATTTCTTTTAGTATATGTTCTTATTTTGTGCAATATTTTAGGTTCATCCAGGTTATGTAGATACTGACATGTCCAGTCACAAAGGTCCTTTAACACCAGATCAAGGTAAATACTTTCATCAATGTGTGATAATCTATGTAGTGCAAAAAACTGTATTTAAAAGCACCCTTCTACAAACAGCAATATTGTCAGTCAAACTTGTCTTGTATCTCAAATTGAGATAGTTTTCCTGTCCACATGGAGCAATTTTTTTCGTTAAATTCTTCAACTAATCATTCTGAAACGAAGAGTTCCTTAGTCTCATCATCCATATTGTAGCCACTCTTTAGGTTTAGTTTAGATGGGTCATCTTTGTCTCTTTATTGCTATTCCCTACAATTCCATTACTTTAACACTCTAGAGAATACAAACTTCTACAAAGCTGTATTTTTTTTTTCCCCTTTTCTCTGTAATTCAGCTTTGTTCCCTTACTTTTTAAAATCTTCTAATTCCTCATATGATTTAATTTATTTTAAAAGCTTCTAAAACATTTTGCATATTTGATTTTTTAAATTTGTATACTGGTTAAAAAAACACTTTCTTTTTAACATCCTATTATGTATACTTTATTCATTTATTTAGTTTTCACTTTTAACTACATAAATAATGCTAAGGCATCTCAATATGCACTTTTGACAAGATGTTTCTAGCAGCTGCATTCTTAATTTTGTGTGAGGTTTTTAAAATTGCATTTTCATATTTGTTTAACTATATTTCTTCTGTAGTTCAAAGCAGTTTCATATGTGATATAAAACTTATAAGAATTTCTCTTCGGTATTTATTAGGTAATTCTTAAATTCTTAACAATGATTTTTTTAATACTGCTCAAGTTAAGTGTATAAATGTTATTACCGATTACTTTTGTTTACAGTTAACAATAAATTATTAAGAACACCTTAAAGCTGTGTTTCATTTTGATGTGAACACATCTTCAGTAATTTTTAGTTTCTGGAGTCAAAAGATACTTTTCTAAAATTGTAAATAAATTTAACATCATAAATACATGATGCTTATTACATTTATACAGTTCACAATTAAGATTTTGAAAAACTTAGAATTCAGTTATGTATGTATTTATGTTATTATGTATGTACTGTAGATATTAAGTTTCTTAATTTTAATTTTTAATCTAACTTATATTTAGTTTGCTCACATGGGATCAAACTTATGTTATTGTAACAAATTAATTAAAAATGCTTGTTTTATGTGTGTTTTCAGAAAGGGCACCTGAAGGTTTTATGATCTTAATTACGTACCCAATATATCTATCTAAATTACAATTTTATGAAAACTCTTTCAATAGAGTAAAAATTACATATTCAAAACATTTACTGTGTTTAACTAGCTAAAAACAAATAAATAAATAGAATAAAAAATAAAATAATGTAATACCTTTAAGTAAAATTAAAATGTACTATTTATTAATTCAATTGCTGTTGTCCCATCAGTGGCCCTACAGTAAAGTTGCTGTAGTCCGCCAGGGTTTGAATCCTGACTAACGACGAGCTGCATGGGCATTTATGAAATTTTGCCCATGTGTGACATGAATATGAGCCAGTTTCCCTTAGAAAATCCTCCATGAAGGCATTTGTTTTTTTAGGTGGATAACCTTCATGTGCTTTACCATAATCAAATAAACAACATGAGGAATAAACACGCATTTGCTATTTATTTAAGAGAACATAGTAAAGTTAAATTAAATTTAAATAATTCTCTTGCACCATTGCTGCAAGGAATGAAGTTTGAATTTAACAAACATTCTCTGTTCGTAAAAAAGCAAATTTGAAGTTAATTAAATTTTAAATGAAATTGAATTACAAATAAATGATTAATTATTGCTGCAAACTAATCTACAATATCATTTAAATTCTGAGAGCATATGTAAATCAAGTGCAAGTATCAAAATCTATCAATTTCATTAAAAATTTAATTAACTTTAAATTTGCTTTTTACGAATAGAGAATGTTTGTTAAATTCAAATTGTTATTTATTTAATATATATGTGTGTGTGTGTGTGTGTGTGTGTGTGTGATGATTTGTTTTGTTGTAGATAACTTTATGTTAGATGTCAGCTTGATCAGGGAAGGTTCCAATTCACTTTTTAATCATGGCCAAAAAAGCTGGTGCATAGAATACTGGAAATTGCAGTGTAGTGGATGACTGAATAGAATTTTGGAAGAAGCATGACCAGCTCCATATGTAAACATCATTTATTTTTGCATGACGAATTTCTTAGCATATATCTTTGTAATTGTAGAACATTAGGGGTGCTAAATGCACCCCACAATTTTAGATACATGATTACATCTTACATAAGAGAGAATAGCTAGCAAAGGCCAAACGATACGTTGCCAGCAGGAAAGTGAAGTGCCGAAAGAGAATGCATAGTTTGTTGCAGTACTGTTTATAAGCTCAAAATGCTTTTTTTTTAAACCCGAGCAGCAACTGGACAAAAGATTCCACATTGTGGTTACTGCAGGGAAAGTGTGATATAATATGGGGCCTTGATGAGGGGATGTATGCAATTAAAATTAAGAATTTAAAGGACCATTCCCATTGCATTTAATAAGGTAATAAATTTTTCATCTTATTTTGATATCTTAGATGTATGTACTTGATTCTTTAATTATAATTCTATAATATAAATAAGTTTCCTTCTACATCACTGTAAAAGTTCATTACAGTTCTTATTAATTAGCATACATGAAAATATAAAGTTTTATTCAGCTTAACTTTGTACACTTACTTTTGTAATAACAAACAAATGCAAACCATATGCTTTTATGATGAAAATAAAGCAAAGGTAGATTTACTATTTTGTAGGTATTTATAGGTACTATTTTGATTTGTACTATTTGATTTTGTAGGTACTGGTTTGTAGGTATTTGTAGGTACTATTTTGATTCTTTAATATAATATGGTACAATTCATTCCATTATATTCAAATTTTAATAAAACATACTGTAATAAATGAATTTTTTTCTTTTAATGGTCAACATGCTCCAAACAGTTTTCTGTACTGTGATACTAGTCATACTTCATTTGATTTTTATTTATGAGAATTTTGCTAGGGTAAAGACAAAAATTCAACCGAACAGATCTTAATACTGTTACCTATTGCCCACTATCACATTAAGAGTATTGTTCTTTAGTCTTTGTTTTCGTAGTATTATCAATAAAATGTTTTCAAAGTGTATTATCATTTTATTTTATTTCTTCTTTTATTAGTTAATTTTAGACACATATATCACTTAAAATGTTGAAAATAAGTAAGTTTTATGCACATACTTTGAAACATTTTTGATTAAAAAGTTGTTTTAAACAACAAAAATTACATAATATTTATAATAGCAGCTCAAGAAATATATTTTGATAAACTCTAAAATCAAAGTATGATCATAACTCTGCAATGAATGTCGGCAAGCATCATATTATGCTATATAACACTGTTATGAGAAAAAGAATATCTGATTCGAAATATACATTTTACGTTTTTTTGATAGCAAAGAAAAGTAAAGTGTATATGCAACATTAAGTTATAAAAAATTCTACAAGCTATTACAAGACACTGGTTAACATAGTAAGCATCATCATTTGTTCTTTCTTTTACATCAGCAATACAAAATTTTTTGGATCAAAATTTTTAACGATAAATGTCAAAACAGATTTATTATTGGTGTCACTGATGCAAAATCTCACAAAAATAAAATCGATTTAGCAAACTTCTGAAAATGGATCAAGCTTACAAGGAAATAATTATTTTAGAACGAAATCAAGGATTAATGGCAGATTCAGCTGAACTGTTATTACTGGTAATATGTAATACAGCATATCTATAGGCATGGTGAGAAACTGCCATCGGATGTTGTCTTTTAGCATACCTAATGAGGCTGGACAATCGCGGTAGATTTGCCAATTCAACTAACCTGCACAACCAATAATCATACACAGTGGCGTAAATAAGGGTATGCTCCCTCAGGGGGCTCGCTTTTGTGAGTACGGGTGTGGCAATCCCGAGGTACCCTAGCCCTTCAGGGGATCATCTTCTTGTTGAGACGGGTGTCACGATCCTGGAGCCCCAGTGATCTATCCTCTTTTCCGTCTCCTCTCCTCTTGGCTGGAACTTTTTCCCTTCCCTTCTCCTTGTGGTTTCTCTCTACTACGAGTTGGGGCTCGTCACGAGAGGCTGGAACAGACCTTGTTTCTAGTTTTCGAGTGGCGAGAAAAATGCCCACGTGTTTGCCGTGCGTGGAGACCCTGTCTGGAAAGGAGGGGGTCCTGGTAGTTGAGGGCGAGGGTACTGTCCCCACACACTGCTTTGGCCTCTGCTTCGCTAAACGGGAGGCACCTTAGTCGTCCTCCGGGTGTCATCAGCTGGTCCTAGTCCTTGGCAGTGGCTGGGTCAAGCTCGGGAAAGCCGACTGTGGGGCTTCAGTTTGCGTATAGGTCCGGCTAGCCCTAACAAGGTCTGTGTTCCCTTGTTGGGCTCCGTGGTGGCAGGGCCGTCGGACCCCGAATCTTTTTCTTTTTCATATGGCTATTTCTCACATCTATCTTATTAAAGATTTTAAAGTCACTCCAGACTTACTCAAGTCGCTCAACCTAGTTCCGAAGAAAAATCTACTGTTAAAAAACTACGTACTGATGCAAATAATCCAAATAGCAATCCTCGTTTCGTTGTTATATCTAGTCCTTCTGGCGAGCTGCAAAAGATGTCTCAATTTGTAATACATAAGTACATTCATTCTTGTATTGGTGAGCCCAAAAGTATAAAGCGTCTCCGCTCTGGAGACTTGCTTGTAGATACGAATTCAGCCACCCAGTCTGCTTCTTTACTTCAAGTAACCAAACTTGGGCAAGCGAATGTCACCGTAACAGCACATAAGACCTTGAATTACTGTCGTGGTGTAATCTCGGAAATCGACCTTCTGTGTGTTCCCGAAGAAGAGATCGCATTCGAGCTATCTAACCAAAATGTATGTGGTGCAAAGCGGATCAAGATGCATAAAGAAGGTAAGTTGATCGATACCAAACACGTGATCCTACCTCAACACGCCTGTTCTGCC